TTTTTTTTCCCCCCCCGGGGGGGGGTTTTAAAGGGTGGGTTTTTCCCCCCCCAAAGGGGCCCGAAAAAAAAATTTTGGGTTGGGGGAATTTTTTGGGGGGGGGGGTTCACCCCCCAACCCCTTTTTTGGGCCCCGGCCCCTTTTTTCCGGGGGAAATTCCCGTTTTAAAAATTCCCCCCGGGGGGGGGTTTTTTTTTTTTTTGGCCCCTGGGGGGGGACCCCCCCCAAAAAAAAAACCTTTTTCCCCCCGGGGGGGGGGAAAGGGGGGGTTTTCCCCCCCCCCCCCCCCCCCGGGGGGGGGGTTTTTTTTTTTTAAAAACTTTGGGTGAAGGGGGGGGAAAAAAAAAAAAAATTTTTTCCCCGGGGGGGGGGGCCATTGGGGGGTTTGGGCCCCCCCCCCCCCCCCCCCCCCCCGAGCCTGGTCCAGTGAAAACCCGCCGTGCTCCGCCCCGGCTTTGAAGGGGTGCGAGGTCAATGGTCTAACGACTACAAGGCATGCACAACTATGAGTACCTCCTCCCCCTGCCCCCCCCCCTCCGGTCTCGTCATACCTGACCCCCCATCTCTCCGCAATTCGTGCCCGCTTACCGCCACCAGCCCAGCCGATGCTCCTTCTTCTGGCGCTTCGTCAGCTCTTTCCTGATGTAAAAAGGAAAGGGACCACAACCACAAAGAACGGAGGGGTTTCGGTTACTAAATAGGCTTGTTTGTGTCGAGGCGTGCGGCTGAGACAGTCCACGCCCACTCTGTTGAAGGGCCCGCCACCGCCGCCGCCGCCGCCGCCGCCGCCGCCGCACACTGGTGTCGAGAAACACAAAGAGAGCCGGGGGTGGCTTGCGTGGAAACGAAGGAAGGGCGTGCTGTTAAAGTGCCGAGTAGGGAGAGCACCCACAAGAGGGAGATAAGAGAGGGTCGTCGGATGGTGATGACGAGGTGCTGTTAAGTGCCGTGTAGGGAGGGCACCTACAGGAGGGAGATAGAGAGGGTCGCATAGATTCTGTGTGCCCGGCCTTCCTTCCCCTTGAGTGTCCCGCCCGGTCCCAATGAAACTCTCGTCGTGTTCATCCCTTTGCTCTTCCCGCTCCAAGCCATTCTTCCTTTCATCACCACCACCTCTTGCACTGGACTATCTCCGCACACAGCAGCCAGGACACGGCGCCGCCTCTACTGGTTCAGCTACCTCCTTCGCCAGCCTTATTCAAACTCGCTGTTTGCTGGGCACGCCCCTCGCGTCTTGTGTTCAGAGTCCCATTCATTCTGGACGTCAAATCATTGTACATATGCTAATGTACTTTTCTGTGTACCGTATTTCGGAAGGTCTTAGTCGTGGCTGCCACCCAAGAGTCTAAAAATGAGATAATTAACGTACGACCACTAAAAGACTACAGTAGTAGAGGTCCCGATATAGTGCCGGTCGAATACCGTACGTAGGTTGCATGATGCAAGATATCACACCCCTTTGGCCGTTTTTCAGAGCTTGATTTCTCGGCAGGAAATGATGAAAGCAGTCACGGTGCCGAGAATGGCGGCAGTGGTTGGAACCGTCTGGTCGAGAGCTTTCCGAAAACATTTCATTTTAACTCGACATGCTCTTCGTAGTGAAGTAATCATCAAGCTTTGGAAATCGGTCCAGGGGGTGTGGTATCTTGAGTTATGTCACCTGCGGTAGTGCCTGTGCCAAGCATATTGCGGGGAGAAGACTGAGCTACCAAGTATTTCCGTGCTTTGAATAGCGCTTGTGTATGGCGATTGTGCCGGTAAAAAAACCTCTGGGCACATACCGGCGCTATTACGGGAGCAGCTTTACTGTACCGGGCCACTTGAATTGTTTGTTTCTTCGACGTCTTTTCGAGGTTCTCGCCCTACTACCGTAAAAGGGGCGGAGAGATGGCACCCTGCGTTGACCGATTCTCACAAGGTCGATCGCTCCACAACCAAGATTGATTGTTCCAACACCCAGAATGGCGGTCCTGGGAAACATCTCGTCGAGGGCTTTCCGTAGGAGTATCAGGCTCTTCCTTCTCGCGCACCCTTGGTTTTGGAGCAATCGAATCGAGGTTTGAAAGTCGGTCTAGGTTGGGTGACATGTCTCAGCCTCTTTGCGGTGATAGTTTCTTATCGCCAGAAGGCCCCAGCCGTCTCTTTCCCTTATCCCTGCACACAAATGCACCTACCCGCGTGCCTTTTGTGTTTTCGTCCCGAGCCTTCGCTGGCTGCGACTCTGTACCTTTCGCGGTAAACATTTTGGCACTCGGCACACAAGTCGAGGGTCAGTCACACAGGAGGAAAGGTAACACATCATTTTTTTCTGTTTGCCTCCATATTTGCCGGCGCCGTGCCTGCCTCCAATATTTAACATTCTCCAGTAGCGCTTACGACGTGGTCGACAGCGGTGGCCTCCATGTCGGACTACGAATTTTCTCGGAAATTTCCTTGGGGAGGGGCAGCTCGTTCACAGCACCAAGCTTTATTTCTTGCGCCGCCGCGGCATGGGCTTGCACGCAGCACTGACGTAACCCTTACCGCCTCCAGCGCCGCCGCTCAGGCGAAACACGCAAAGCAACCTAGCGTTTCACCTGTCGCGCGCCGAGGTTTAGGCCTTCTACCTGTAGAGCAACCTAGCTTTTCACCATTTTGGCGCCGCGGCATAGGCTCACACGTAAATAAACCTAGCTCTTACCAACTTACATGTAAGCTTTGGGTCGGGTGTTTGGGTCGGGGACAGGGAAGAAGCAAGGGCAATGCGGTAGTCTCGGAACGGTGCCAAGATAACCAACAGCAGCCCGGGTTCGAACCAGGAACCTGTAGTTTCGAAAGGAAGCTTAAACTCTGCATCTATCCACCGGGGTAAATATCTCATCCGTCGAGTTAGACATCCTCCTCCGGCCCCCCACCTACAGCAGTACCTCCTAGGAGGTTCCTCGGGATATACTTGTTCAAAGAACACTGGAAACTCTGGAGGTTGTACACAAGTTTCCTAGAAGATTCCCGTCATGCATTGCTTTCGACCAAGTGCCAAGCCCCCCTCAGAAATGGTTCAGCACTTGCTTCCCTTCCCTCATGCGGGGTTTCTTCACGGCTGCCTCGAGAGGTGCTTGAGGGCACTACTTACTGACTGACTCTCTCGCGCCCTTTGATTTTTGATGCCCAAGTTGCGGGGTATGTATTTCGCTCGAGGGAGAATCAACCAAAGGAGCAGATGAGCTCAAGACGACAGCGAGTGTACCAAGAGAAGAGAGAGTGACACAGAGAGAGAGAGAACATATATTCACGGTAGCACAGCAGGTCACGATAAATAAAGTTATTTAGTGTCGCATGCTGTGTGACCACGGACTGGAGCTCCGACCTGCAGGGCAGAAATGCTCACAGCGCTGATGAAAAAAAAGAAAAAATTCTAGCGCGGACGGCGCCGCACAGGGGCCTCAATAAAGCACAACATGTTTTCATGGATTGTTCAGGGAGGGTAGCCGTATGCACAGGCCTGCATGCGTCTGGTGTGTCGGCGTACTGGCGTACACTGCCACAGAGCTCCTCGACTTGTATACACAGCAGTCAATGGAGTGTTGCAAAGCGGATTTTCTTTGGAATAAATACCAAGTCCTGTACTTCGTCGATACAGCAGTAGGATTATGCTGCGGATGGCCGCGACATGGGTTCAAGCGTTCAAGCGCAGCGGGGATCTTGACCGAGCCCACAAATGATGCTCAAGTTCTAAGGTTTTGAGTTTTTCGAGGCTGCATCAATTTCCTGGCTGGCAGTTCATATTATATGCCACAATAAATCCATATCTATCTACAGAAAGAAGTCTAAGATAGAATAGCAATGAATCCATAGCGTCAGCGAAGGGCTATCTGTATGTCTACGATTTCCCGAACAGCACACAGCGATATCTCCCCTGTGGGTAACAGGCTCAACAAGGCGGTTTGGTAGCCATCTTGTGTAGTATCCATCTGCATGTTTTGTTGGGAAGTTATAGACGGAAGATTTAGGGGAAATCGGTTTGTCGGGTGTGCTATTTATCTATTTATAGCACCCCTATGTGGTTGCGGAGCAAGCGCGTCTCGGGGTGTGTACATGTTCGTCATCAACTTATTTTCTGTGTGTGATGTATGAGGGCATGGGCCGCGCGGGGAACATACTTCTTCCACTTTGGGTATATCTCGAATGGGCAGTCTTTCTGTGTGTGTAATTATTATTCCATAATTTTTTGTCCGGCCAGGTGTCTGTCCTCTCGTTGTTCGGGTTATGTGTGCGAGGGGCACGGGAGAACATTATTTCTCACCATTGTCATTGCCGCCTGACGTGGTAGACAAAGGCGTGCGGTTGAGGCTTCGTCACCGAGTGTCAAGGCTCTCTGTTACGTGAGGGGCATTGCTACCTCCCTCATGTATGTATATTTAGTCTAGAGGCCTGCCTACTTGCTGTAGCGGGCCAGCGGTTCGTAGAATCGTAGAATCGGGCCGTTTATTTATCGTAGATTTAGATTCTCGGCTCGTGGTCGGGAAAGACAGACGCGGCGTATTTGTAAAGGGAATGTGTCACGTAAACTCCTGCGACCTTGCGGTCTACACGCACAGGACACCGCATAACAAGCTACAGGGTGGCAATTACGCGTCCAGACAACGCATTTGCATGGCTATACGATGCATGGTTTATGCCATCATCAACCGCAAGATAGAATGTGGTACGTGTACGTGTGTGTGTGTACGAACAACGGCGCACGAACCTCCTCACGCTCTTGACTCCAGCCAGCGGATCCATCGCTAGGCGCAGCAGAGACGACGATCCCGCCAGCGGCACGATTCCGGTGCCTCGGGCCGGTGCTGGTAAGCACCACCACCATCGCAGTCATTGGGTTGCTTCGGCTGCGCTCCAATAGCAACACCATCCACCCCAGGACAATGTTCCTCGCCATCTTCCCCATCGCTCAAAACCACAGCAGCCCCTTCACCAACAACCCAGAGGCAGGTGCTCGCCTCACAACTTGAAGCCAGGAGGGCCCGCCCACGGGCAAGGTTAGTTTCGCAGCTAGGATCCCCGTTGCCTTGCTGCGTCTGGTTTGTTGGTCTGTTGTCAGGTACGCGCCGGTGTTGCACAGCAGACAGGTTGGTTTTGTCGCGCCACCGGGGGGGCACCGTGAAAGCAGCATGGGGGCGCCGGGAATGCACGGTTTGCACATGAGTTCTCGAGGCTGGACCGTGTGAGGGTTGCGAGTACTGCTGTTCGAGATAGGCGGGCGTGGCGTTGGGCGTGGTCCCCGCATCAACACGGTCGCTGTCAGCGGCCGGTCGACAAAATCCCAAGGTACACCGCAACAAACGACCCACTACGTCGCTGTTGGATGAGAGGGGTAGCACCGGCGGTCCTATTGCTTCTCCACGGTGTTGCAGGGTTTGTCCCGCCAAATCCTAGCTGCACTTCAGCGGCGCCTGCTGCGGCACCCAAGGGCAGCATCAGCAGCATCAGCAGCAGCAGCAGCAGCAGCGACAACATTAAGCGATCATCCTCGCCCTTGCGAGGAGCAGACATCATCATGGCATCATCGTCAGGTGGCGCCGCCGCCGACCTTGAGATCAAGAGCGAGACGGCGTGCTTCGGGGGTAGGTTGCTCAAGTGCGTGCACCAGTCGAAGGCCACCAAGACTCAGATGACCTTCACCGTGTTTCTCCCCCCCGCGGCGGCATCCAGCGCTGTGCCGGTCTGTATGCATATCTACTGCTGTAAATGTAAATGTGTGATACATGTGGTCTACAACAAAGCATGTACAATCGATGTTTGGTACTGCTGCTGTTGTGGACCTGTACGTACATGTACGTACACGTGTGTGTTCGCATACTGCTGTCGTTGTCTCACATGCTGCTGCGGACCACTCTATATTTCGAGTGGGGACAGATGTTGTACCCGTTGCGGACTCTGACGACGTGGTACAGCAGTACATCGGTCGTACCCGTAGAGTACAGAGTCTAACTATGTGGTCATGTGCGGAAGGGAGGAAATGCCTCCCTGTCGTAACGTGCTAATATAGAAATAGACGTCGTTTCACTACATAGAATGGGTCGCGCTCTCCCCCATGCCGGTACACTTGTACATGCACAGCTCGGCTGATGATCACCGATAGGTAGGTAGGTTTGCGGCATCCCATTCCCCTGGATACAGAAACGTGACTTGCTCGTAGACCGCCTCCCAGGTGCCTGTTCAGACGATAGGCTCATTCATCCACAAGGCCGACACTTATGTACTACTGTAGACAGGCGTGCGCTGTTGTTCTACTCGCCTCTGTAAAAAAAACTTTAGCTGACAGTTCGGCCCTTGCAATTTTAGCGTAAACCGTCTTTATCCCTGCCGGCCTAAAACTGTTTTTTCTTTCACCCACCGTTTCGCCGCTAGTTTTTCGTGGCCCCAACAAGAAGACCCTAGTAATTTTCCCGGCCCTTTCCACATATTTTGTTCTCACCAACGGGTGAGTCATTGGGTGTTTGACCCTTCACTACGGAAGAGGCCGTTTTTACCAGATCGACGGGAATTATATAGTACGAATAGCGCATGCGCAACAGGTTATGGAGGCCAGAATGTTCCTTTCGTGAGTATACAACATCAACGCCAACAACAACGCGCAGGTGCTCTACTACCTTAGCGGTCTTACCTGCACCGACGACAACTTCATCCAAAAGGCTGGGGCACAGCGGATCGCAGCCCTCAGGGGGGTAGCACTTGTCGCCCCGGACACGAGCCCGCGGGGCGCCGGAGTTGCTGGAGAGGTGCGCTCAACTCCAGTTGGCTTGAACCCTGATTTCTGCCGCGCGGTAGCAATAGCTCGTAGGAGTGTATACCTGATGTGTGATTTTCTACGCCTGGAATCTACCGCGCAGAAGGCAAACATTGGTGTCCGCTAGAACCGAAATTTAGAAGCTTTCCAGCTTTCGGCTGTCCCCCCCGTCAAAGTTTGAGGGTCCTGGTGTGTTTCCTGTTTTTTGGCCCGTGATTGAAAAACTAGGCCAGGGAGCCTCGACGTTGCCGGGAGAGGTATGTTCGGCGGCGCTTCGGGTAGAGTCTATCTACAGAGTACATAACCTCGTCTGATAGCTGCCTGCCGCAGGATCTCCTTGGGTGGTTGACTTGTTGCGCTTACTAGTGTTGCTGAGGCAAGTACGTTTGAGGCTTTTCTCGGCGTCGCCCGACGGTGGGTGGTATTGTGGTAGAGTACTTTTTGCTGATTGTCGTTCTTAGATCCAAACGAGGCCCTAATATAGGTCCCAACACCCACCGGATCGCGAGGCGGGAAAGGACACGTCACGAAACTTCAGTCTGAGCCCGCGTACGTTGCGTGTTGTTGCGGTCACACGTATGGCATGGTGCGAACGCGGAGCGCGAAATACTCCGTTCGGCTGGTTGTTCTTGCTCCCTCGCTTGCAGGATGAAGGCTGGGACTTCGGCACGGGGGCTGGGTTCTACGTGGACGCGACGGAAGCGGGCTGGAAAGAGAACGCGAGTGACACGAGGATTTTCCCCGGGGCTGCTGTCTCGTAGAGTAGACGATCTCTGGAGAAGTCTGGACGGGCAGGACGTTGGGAGTACACACTCAACGGCAGGAGATTGAGGAGACGCATCGTTGTTTATTGTGGTCCCTGACATCATTGGTGCTGGTTGTGCTCCGTTAGCGTCCCGCCAAAAATCATGGCGCCGTCGTCCTGCTGGTGCGACACCATAAATGCTGCTTGCTCTACGTAATGATGCCACCCCCACCCAACGACTCTGTCGGTGATTGGCGCCGCCTCACAATAACAGTACCGCATGTACGCGTACGTGACGGAGGAGCTCCCGGCGGCCGTCGCCGCCAGCTTCCCGGCGGTGGACACGTCCAAAGCCTCCGTGTGCGGGCACTCGATGGGCGGCCACGGCGCCCTCGTAGTGGCGTTCCGGTGAGAAGGGCAATAAACATAGGAGCGGGGGTGCCGGTCGGAAGCAAAAGACGACGCGATGTGTCCCCGCTCCATCTGCGGCTCGCGTGCTACCCCTTCGCTTGTCGTCAAGACGTTCCACCTGAACAAGATGGTGTTCCGTGTTTTTTGTGGTTTCTTTCTGGGGTAGTGTCGTGGCGATTGTATCTCCCGGTGTCTCGTTTGTGCGGTGTCGAGGCTCAAGGTTTGGCGCCCTAAATTTCACGATTTTGCGTCCCTTTTTCTTTTTCTTTTTCTTTTTTCATCTCCGTGCGCTCCGGTGCAAGCAAATACCGGTGTCTCGATTTTTTGCTGCGAAGTCAGACGTGCTGATGTTCGTTTTTTTGTGCTATCGGTCCCTTGAATCGCTCCCTACCTCGCGCGTGTGTTTTGTGGAACCCGTGACTCCTCGTTGTCGCTTCGTCAGAAACCCCGACAAGTATCGCAGCGTGTCGGCCTTTTCGGCGATCTGCAACCCAGTCGAGTGCCCCTGGGGCAAGAAGGCATTCTCCGGGTACCTCGGCAAGGACGAGGCCGCGTGGAAGGTGCGAGGGAGGGGGTGGGGCCAGCTGTCGGCATTTCCTATTTTTTTTTGCTGCTGTCAGTTCATCGTTTCTTGTTGTCCGTGACTTGGACTTAGATTTCTTTGGGACCAATGAAATTCGTGTCTTTGCCTTGAACATTGCAGAGAAGAGGAGGAACAGACCATAATTTAGAAGCTTTTTTCGTGCGAAGGTAACAGAGGTGAGACGTAGACGCAACACCTGCTAACCTTCTAAGACCGCTTTCAAGATTGTGGTGTCAGTATTGGCTCGCACAAGCCGTTTTCGCTCGGTTCACGAAGGGCAAGATACATGGGTGGCTGAGATTGCCAGCTCAGAGAAACGATTCCAAGGCACGTGGTTGAAGGTCACAGGTCTTATCTACGGTGCAATAGGAGTGCCTGTCTGTGCATGGACAACGTAGGAATGGGATAACACGGCATGAATTACCCAAGCATCCGTGACGCCCAATAACCGCACTGCCGTTCAGCGAGAGGTAGCGGAACAGTACGCTCGTGGGGCGCCTACCGCAGTAGCGAGGAGACCATCAAAGTACGAACATGCTTGAAAGGACAACAACGGCTTCCTGTAACTGATCGGGCGGAATATGTCACCTAGTTCTGAGGTGTCGCTCGCCTCACCTTCCCCGGGGTGACCACACCGACTCACATTCCGCGGCGCCCCCCTCGAGGACCGTTGCGGTAAAACGGGCTTGCGGGTCGGCGAAATACTCCTCCCCCACCCGTGTTGACCTGACCATCCGATGTTCTGGTTTCACGTTCAAGAACTGGCTGCCCGACCGTGGCTTGCTGTCTACCACATTGCCTACGCTTGTCTGCGCGGTCAATAACTTCGAGGTTCGGGGCGTATCAATTGCCCTGTATCCCATCCAACGAGTTTCGCGAAGTTTCTGCAGCGGAAAGATTTGCTTCATCGATCATTGTTTTTCATAGTATATCTGCCCTTCGACAGGAGTACGATGCGACGGAGCTGATGCGCCGGGATGGCCCGTTCCCGAGCCTCGGCAAGATCCTTCTCGACCAAGGATCCGCAGACAACTTCCTCACAGGTGGCCGTGCTCGCCCGATTCGACAAGGCTTTCTTGCAAATGTATTTTTGTCGGTGTTGCTGTTGTTGGTCGCGTGGCGGTAGGTCGATCTCCTATTGAATCTGGCGTCGTCGGGCAAAATTGTGGCTCTGTGGCTATTAAGCGGAGGTGCTACTGATCATCTCTGCTGTAAGCTCTCTCTTTAGTTGGCGGAAAATTAGTGCTAAATCAGGCCAACAATTGCAAGGCGCAGCCAAGCACGAAGTCAATATACCGTATAGGACTAAATACCTTACCACACGTGGAGTGAAGTGCATATGTTCTCCTCTGCGTGCCTCTGTTTTTTTCGTTTTACCCGAGCAGCCGGCCAGCTTATCCCTGAGGCCCTGGTGAAAGCCTGCGAAGACAAGGGACAGCCGTGCGAGATGCGGATGCAGGTACATAAAGGGCACTACGACAGCAGCAGCCCTCCAGAGTAATGAAATAGACTGCAAACACGAGAGTGATAGCTCATGTTCGCTTTGGAAGGGCGGCGTGATTTTCCCCCGAAATGCAAGCGGCAGCGTGTATAGTTTGTTTTTTCACCGATTCACTGTGGTTGTTTGTTGTGGACGCGATACCAACCAACCCGCTTTTTCCTCTCTGTGCCGAATAGACCCGACCCTCCAAGAAATATGTGTTTGCTGCCATATCTTCTGGGTCCGTGTGGCGAGGCCTTTCGGTTGTCCCCTCTCCATTTCATTTCTCTCTTTGTCGCTTCCTCATCCACCAGCTTACCTTGAAACGTGAGTGAGTGCTGTCTTTTGGTCAACTAAATTCCTTTGCCAGGGCCTTGATTGGTTTTGCTATTTAGAAAGACCGTGTTGTTCAAATACTTCGAAGCGTTCTCTTTGGACGGAAAGGGTCTGCGTCGTTTTTTCCCCTTGCCAATATCATATTGTTTGCGATCAACGCCTTGGGAGAAAGGGGCCTGGGGCAGCTTTGTCATCAAGTGCGATTGCCTCGTGTAGTGTTGGTCTCGGCTGCCTGTGGGCCGCTTAGCAGGCAGCATTGCATCAGAAACGAAAGCCCTACCGTTGGCGAGGGCGGACGGGTTCGGGTTTTTAGAAAGTAAACATAACCCTTATAGAAAGACCACCCGTTCGAGACACAACCCCAGTCGAAAGGGATTTGGTGAAGTATTTCCAGCAAGTGGACTGAAACCGGGTTTGTTGCAGCCTGTCGAACTGTGGCGCAAGGCCTTTACGAGGATGGGTGTGCTTTTCGCCATGCCTGTCCACCCCATACCTGCAAGAGGTACTAAATATTTAACCTTCACCCCAGCCCCAACACAAACAAGGCCAGGATGCTCTTTTGTGGCGGTGTCTTGACATATTATTTCATGGGTGCGGGAGGTAGACCGAGTCATGAAGACAGCATCAACACGCAACAATGACGCACCAAACCGTGCCACGCAGATGCTTTATTTCAGAGCTTGCTAAGGATGACGAAGTCTGGCACCCTCCATTTGCCAAATTGCATGAGGCGAAGAAACTCTCTCTCTCTCTCTCTCCTCGTGTTCTTTGCCGCCGCCCCTGCCCTCCGCTCCCGTTCTCTCCACCCGTCCGTGTGGACCGGTTTGCTGTTTCGATCGTTGCCTTTTGCTTTGTGGCAGGACGGGTATGACCACAGCTACTTCTTCATCAGCAGCTTCATCGAGGATCACGTGAGCATGCACGCCGACCGTCTCTTGGCATGAGGGAATGAAAACACACAATGAAGCAGAGCCTGACGTATATATATAGAAACCTGAAAGAGGAACGGATGAGCGAATGTAAGAGCGAATGGATTGCTGAAGGCTGTGAGCTCATGCAAGAGGTCGTTGTTTTCGCGAGTTCCTCTGCTGCAACTGCGTTAATGCACTGCTGCTGTTGCTGTACGAAGAGGCGGTAGCACGACCGTACTGGCTGTGTGACGTGGTACCGGAAGAATAGTCGACTATTGTATGCGTTGAGGCTGGGAAAATGGGTAAAGATTATGCCCCGGTAGACTACTTGGTATTTTCGCAACTTTCTACAGGGTCAGGGGTTGGGATCCCGGCGTAAGGGAGTTTTAGTTGCAATATGATTTTTTTTTCTCTCGCTTTATGTTCATGGTACTGGAAGCGTTAGTCTACTGGGTATCCTCGCAACTTTCTACAGTGGCCAGGTCAGGGGTTCGGATTCCGGCGTGAGTTTTTCTTCAAAAGTGAGATTTTGTCTCGCTTCATGTCCCTGGCACGGAAGCGTACTGTAGTTCGGGTCAACACTTCGAGGGAAGCGAGTGCTGCACTCTTCTCGTATCAACATCGAAGGCAAGCACCGCAGGAAGGGCCTCAGGGGGAGGATCCGTTCTTCTGTGTGTCCACGGATGGAAGTTCCTACCCGGCAGAAGTGCTGTGAGCTGTGAACGCTGATTAATATTTGAAGTGGTGAGAATATAATAAAAAAAGCATGTGTATCCAAGTTTCTTCGGTCTTCCGAAAAGTACTTGAAGCTTGAAACGAGAGATAAATAAAAATACTTTTGTGATTAGCACCTGCTGGCATCACTGATAAAGAGTCAGTGCATAGGCTTGAATAGACCCTAAATGAGCCCAGTGTCAAGCCGATTTTCTTCCCACTCACGGTGAAAACTTCAGCACACCCCTTTCGATTGTGGTATTGTCTCGAACGGGTACTCCGTGAAATTGTGTATACTTTTAAAAAGTAGTACATAGCGCATACGTGGTGTGGTGCTGTCGTCCATATGCAACAGCGGCGAGAAAACCTTTTTCTTTGCTAGAAAAAAAAAAAAAAGAGAAGCGCGCATCGCTGGGAGCTCGGGAAAGCGAGGAGGAGCGTCGAAGCGTCGCGCGAACCTACTACGCAAGGACCGGTTTATCGTTTAGCTGGAGCAAAACACAGGCGACGGCGTGGAGCCTGGCGTAGCCTTGAGGTGATGACAGCAACACAGAACCACATACCAAGGTGGGAACTTCGATGAATCTCTCTCTCTCTCTGTCTGAAGGCAATCGCCGCGCGAACATCAGCGGAGGTGATGGATGGGGAGGAAAGAAAAAAGTACCGCGACACAAACTCGTGAATGACGTGCCAAATGTTATACCGAATGGTGTCTTCTGGCGCCAAGAACCGGTGGTGCGAAACACACTCAACACCCACACTTTCACGCTCTCATGGAAGGCCGAAGGACGCTTTTCATGAGCAGCAGCAGCCGTGTGTGGGCATGGCGGTCTGTATACCCAACTCCGTTATGATTGTTTGTCTGCAAGAAGAAGGAAATCGGGCCCACCCTGCACCGGTCGCAAAGGAATCGTCGTCGGGGGAACGTCGGGAACGGTTGCAGGCACGCGATTGATCAATCAACCGAAGACGAGGACAACTGCAATTGCCTTCATGCATTCACTGCTGTACCAGAAAATGCATGCGAACAGTTTGAAATCGGGTAGATGGCCGCGCTGGGCATCTCACCGATACACGTTCTCATCCAAGAGAACATTCTGAGAACCTTCTTCGGGGCTGGGATCTTTTCTCATGTACATAATGCGAGGAGGCGTGTTGGCTCAGGATACATGACCGGCCCGTCCACGGCTCCTCTCGAGGTGTTTCGTGCGAAGCGTATTTCGTACGGAGGGCCGGGAGGTATCCATAATGCTGCCACACGTTGATTACAAGCCGGAGGAAGAAATACTGTGTATGATGCAGTATCAATCCGATAGACCTGAAGACCTCCCGCCAAGTTCCACCGGAACCTCGGAAGATCTCACTTGTTCTGTAAGAACATGGTCACGCATTTTCATGTTCTTCTGTTACCCCGGAAGAGCAGTTTGCAGCACATATTCTTTACTTTGTCCCTACGGAGCCGGGGTGTCTGAACGCGCTAATCGCACCACACCCCACGCCAACCCTCTCGCCCACTCCACCTCAGATACCAACACACAATAACAAAGGAATTCCCAGGCATCATCAGGTACGGCCAGTGTACATTATAGACGATGCACCGCATGTTCTGTAGTCTCTACGTACATTATGTAGTCTAGTGTATGTTCACGGCGGTTGGTCGTTGATATGGATCCTCGTGGGAACATGAGCGACCCTCCCCTGCATCTCTCTATTCCACAAAATAATAGATGTCTTCTCGCCACAAATGAATCGCCCGAGATGCACTGCTGCACCCTTTGACTGCTGCAGTACATGTAGTACGTGTAAGGTCTGTGGCAGACTCCACCCCAGGAGTTCTGGATCGGCAGAGCAACGCGAAGAACGTCCCACCCCCCCCCCTCCCCCGCTGCCTGGTGCTTTCGGGGCAATGGTTCGGGAGCGAGCGTTATCTAGTTTGTTCCAAAGAATGGCCTTGTCAATTTTGGGTGTGACTTGGTGTGATGAGCGACAAGCAGGGGACATGATGGCCGATCGACTACTGCTGTACAGGAGCAAGAATCCCCTTGCAACAGAGTCCCTTGGAGTACAAGATTCCGGATTCTCAACCCTCACGTTCTTGATGAGTGGGCCTGATTTCGGTAGTGTGCGTATCCTCATCTTGATTCGCTCGTTTGCTATGTTGCTTCATTCTCGCGCAGGTCACCTCACCGAAGAGCAGCATAAGTCATGAGAAACAACTCCAACCGCTTGCTGGGCCTTCTCGGTGCCACAGCAGTTGTTCTGACTTGTGGGTGTTGTGAAGAAAGCAACCCGTCCACCACCATGTACTCGGAGTTCCATATCGGGTGCCTCGACTGGTACATCGGAGACTCCAAGTGTGATTCAATAAACAACGATGCAGAATGCGGCATGTAAGTATGAAGTTTTTGGCTCATTTCAGGGCTTGTCGGTGAATACAGCGCACCCTTTCACTATCTTGGTTCATAAGAAATCCGCCTTTCTGTCCGAATGGGCCACGACCCAGGCACCCTCGCCTCAACTTGTTAGGTCTCAGAGTGCATCAGGCATCGCTATTGCGATGCAAACCTGGGTTGATCACACGCGATATTGTTACACGCAGATCAGAGAGGGCTGCCAGGCCTCGCAGGACACCTCGCGACCTTTCTCGCGTTGTTGGTTCTGGAACCATTGTTATACGGTATTGGAAACCCCAGATTCATACTGTTTCGCTCTCACGCATACACCGTTGTTTTGTGAGTGCCACAAAACCCGTAGCACGCCGTCGTTGCTTAGTCATTGCGTCCATCTTCAGCATTTCCTCTTGTTTTGGTTTGCCACCCTGTGCCGTAAATCCTCAGGCTACGACGGCGGCGACTGCTGCGAGTGCACATGCCAGGTACGAAACTCCTCGAACCCGCATTATCTAGAGGCTGGTATGGAGTCTACGTTCGTAGGGAAGGATGAGCCGGATGACGACTCAATACCTTGCAGAAGTCTATCGGCGATGCCGTGCAACGATTAAACGGTTAACAGAAGAAGGGCGCAACGCGATGACCTCGCGACGAGAAGCGGAGCTTCTTGTGCACCACACATGGTTATGGGTAAATTCTTTTCACATGCGGTCAAATTGTTTCCGCTGATGCCGTTCAAAGCAGTGCCAATAATGTTTTTCAAGTTCATGTTCCAGCGACGAGAAACAGCGCTTGAGTAGCACATGTGCTACAGCAGCTTCTTCACATGAGGTCCATTTGTTTCCGCTGATGATGCCCTTCACAGGTGTTCTTCATTGTGTTACCGAATCCTTCATTCATCACCCGAACGCTTCGACGGGCTATTGTGTCCTCCGCAAGTCAAACACCAATAACCAACGTTTCTAATACCACCCACACCCATTTTTCTTCAAGTCCTGCAACACTTGGAACGCTACTTTGCCGAGAGAGACGCTTGATCCCGGCACGAACGCATACAGGCAACGCCAGAGGCATAAAGTTGGGACAATAGACAAATTTTTCTCATGCATTTGAAAATAAACTTCGAGAACATCGACTTCCTTCCCAGACCAGAGCCGACACGAGTGGGTGCGTTCGTTCGGTCGGCGAGATGTTTGTCGTGCCCGTCTTCGGCCTCATTACCTCATCGACCACGTGGTGATCCCATCATTTCCATGTCATGTCGTTCTGCTGCCAGTGTAGTTCAACACCTCCCAGTGTATGTCGTTCAACACATCCAGCGCGGTGTTGCGTGTTTGGCTGACGATCTACGATTGATTGCTTTGCCTTTAGATGAAGCTTCATCGAGTAGAACTCCCGGAAAAAGGAAAAGGGTAAAACACATCCTATGATTTTAGGGCAATGCCTGTGAAGCACGGCCATCTGTTGTCGGAGCGCTACCAAACCGGTGTGACGAAGAGTGCCCTAAAAAAATTTCTCCTCACAAGCCAGCAGATCTTGAATCGGTGTTCAATAGACCTCGTTCTGATCGAACGAAGGCACATAGTTTTAGGTGGTCCATTATTTAGGCGGAAATCGCAGAAGGGCCTCTCCATCGCGTTGGTTGGAAGAGTCCGACATATAGAGCCTTTTATCCCTCCTGGGTATGAAGGAAACAATGTCGCGCTTCACCCTCCCCTGCTCATTGTAACCAACACCTCCCTATAGCTGTCCTCTTTTCGTCTTGACCGTGATCGCTCGAAGAACAACAAGAAAGTGTCCAAATTCGTTGGTGGGAATTGCAGTTGCCATGCATTCATCATGGCCATTTCTAGGCAGCAGATTCCCTTTTGTACCCCTTTCTCGATCCCCCTTCCCCTCCCCTCCGTACCCTCGCTGAGACATATTCGCTTCCTTTTGTTCCTGCGCCGGGCACATTCCAGTATCGAAGCGATGACGACGATAGGGGTTGCGATGGAGCGTTCGCGTGCATCGACCCGGACGCTCCTTGTGTCGACGACGATGGGATTACTGCTGTCATGGCGGAGAACTGTCAATGGCCTGGAGGCATCGGGAACGGCGACTGCAATACCCTGAACAACAAGGAAGAGTGCGGTATGTTTTCTCACGTTCCGAGTACCTGGCGACTAGAGAGTATGTTCCATTTCGTCGGCTGAAACTTTACCATAGGAGCGAGCAGCGGTAGACCATACAGGCAGAGCAGAGCATCGAAGATTGGGCAGCAGGTTTTCGAAAGGACAACCATTCGCCCTGCTTTACCCTACAGTAGTAACCAAGCCATTGACCACCCATTGAAGGCTTGATTCTTGGCCTCGCAAAATGACTTCCGTTCCGTACACGATCACCGTATGCAACAACCGCATGGGAATAGTATTGGATTTTGTACAAGCTAGTCCAGTTTGGTACGGCCTCATGCGTGACAAACCCGCTCCCTCTTACTCCTCTCTTTCTACCCTACAGTTGCGACCAACCTCATCCCACCGCCCCCTGGGGCTCGGGCTCAGTCAGATGTGATGCTGATACCACATCGTTTTCGTTTGGTGCCATCCTCGTCGATCGTTCTTCGTTTCTCTCAGGCTATGACGGCGGTGACTGCTGCGAGTGCACATGCGTGGTGAGGAGTCTTCGAATTGTTCATACACAGGGTCTCCTGAATTACGTTTGCTTTCTCGTTCCTCGGCGTGTCTCTCCCTACAGTAGGGACACTTCGTTCTGCACCTGCCCCCTCAAAGTCCGAAGATTCGAATCATTTCGGGTACTTTTCGCATGCACATTTCTTGTTTTCCTTTTTGTGCGAACATTGCACACAGAGGTTGCTGGGGTTTGTAGTTCTGCGCGCACGACATGCTTAGCCCCATCTCCTATGTCCTATCAACAAGGGCTCAAACGTTCGAGATGAAGCTTTCTCGTCCGTGCGCTGCTGCGCGCGCGTGTGTATGGCAGAGTTCAGAAGACGACGACGACTCTTGTAGCAAGACCGCGTTCGCCTGCATCGACCCGACCGCCCCTTGTGTCGACGACGACGACGTTACCGTCATGATCGAGAGCTGCTTCGTATCTTCGTTTGGGGATGGTCTGTGTGACTACGCCAACAACAGCGAGATATGCGGTAAGTACGGTGGAAAATTTTGTGAGGATACCTAGCATACCATATGTTAGAAAGTCGAGTGACGGAGTACGCTTGCATCCTTTCGCATTTTCTCCCTCCTCCCCCCCCCCCCCTCCCTCTCTCTCCCTTTCTCTCCCTCCCTCCCTCCCTCCCTCCCTCCCTACCGTATATTCGTTGCATGTCTGCCTGGTTTCGTTGCATGCCTCAACACCTCTCGTCTACGTACCAACTGCACCTTCGACGAAATTACGAGTCTTACCGGGTTAGAGTCATGCCACGGTAGGGAGAGCACGTTGTGCGTCAGAAGCTTCTCGTAACGTTCTAGCACCAATTCCGATCTTGAATTCCTGTTGTATTTCATCTAGCTCATTGAAATACTTGTCTCATGGTAGGTTTGTGTTGGGTCAGTGTGTCCATTCCAGGCTGAGATACTGAGCTCTTTACTTGGAATAATCAGGAGCGATCCGTTCACCCCTACCGTGGCATGAGTGGGCATTCTCATGATCGTGATCATGGTCGGTGTATGACTGGGTCAAATGACCCGATCATGGGTCATTGCTCGGTCATGACGGCCATAGCCCGGGCATGGCTGGGTCATGACCCGATCATGTCCGAAGCATGACCCATGGGCGGGTAATGACTTGATGACTATATTGAGGAATTACCTCGATCAAGGTCATGACCGAAGTCATGCCCAGGTCGTTACCCGGCCCTGACCGAATCGTGATTCGACCTCGAACGGGTCAGGCTGTTACGGCTTGGCCATGGCATGGTTATCGCTAGGTCATGACTAGTTCATGACCTGGTCATGGCTCGGTCATGACTCGGCCATGACCTGGTAGGCCCGAACATTCCTGTGTGCACCTAGCTAGCGGCGTGGACATGAACCGTGCACGCACAACCTTGACAGGCCGAAAACACCCCGTCTATGCAGGAAGCAACAACGGCAAAGCGTTCCCCGTCTCGAACCCCTGCCCTGCTGTACAGCAGCATCGAGTTCTATCCCTTCAACCGGCGACTAGTCGACACACAACCGATGTAATGCTGGTGCTCCTCAACACTAGAACTGTCTTCTTTGGCAAGGGCATGAAACCGGCTACAATCCCTGGCGCTTACCCAAACCTTGAACCCACACGAAGGTGCTAGGTTGGCACTGGGTACATACATTCTAGGTTGGTATTGACGGAACAAGCAGGACACGGGTGTGCCGTTTTAGGTGCTAGGTTGTCGTCGATGCGGTGAATCTAGACAGACCATCGAGATATTTTTTGGGTGACGATAGGGTCATGATCATGTCATGGTCCACTCATGGTAACGTACCTGGTCATGATGACATGGTAATGACACTATCATGGCTGAATCATATCATACCCCCGGTCATGGTCCGACAGTCTGGCCGACAACACACGAGGTCATTCTGCGATCGTTCTCCGATCATGCCCGTGTCATGACCCGATCAATGGGTCATGATCGCGATCCCGAGCTAACCCAATTTTGCTACCCATTGACCTTTGCGTTGTTTCCGGCTTCTGGAGGGTCTCGAGTCTCTAGCATGGTCGGGTGTGGTGTGTGTTTCCCGAGTTTCCGAACGGTTTGGAACTAATGTTTCGAGTCTTTCCTTCCCATTCGGTGGTGGTCGTGGCTTCTTTCCCTCAGGCTACGATGGCGGCGACTGCTGCGAGTGCACATGCGTGGTGAGCAATTCTAGAAAGCCGTACGAGTTCTTGCAAGGAGTGCGATATTTCGTGCATTAGCTTCCTCTTCACCTCTTCCTCTGTTCTTTGGGTCCCTATCTCAGTTCTGAAACATCCTTTTGCCACCTACTGACTCGTGCACCGTTGTTTTCGTGTCTGTCACACTGAGAGGCTGAACCGCTTCCATCCAGATCAGGCCCGCTTGATGTAGCAGAGGCAATACAAATCTTTGCACTGCCCACGAAATTCCAAAACGTGGAAAATGATTGCAACTACCTTCCACTGGCCTGTCCCTCCAGCCCCTGTTCCCGTGTTTTGAATGCCAAACTGTGCTGTCGAGATGCCCATACGCAAGACACACCATGAATATTGGGCAATTTTAGTCTTGCCTCGGTGTGTGCATGTCGAATCTTGACCCCTGAACCTCTTCGCATTATTCCCTGTTTTTCCTTCAGCCGCCTCCTTTAGCTCAAACTATGTATCAATCGCCTAAAGTCTTAAGTGGTGCTACGCTTGCACGTACCAGAGCCAAGTGGACGAGGCCGACTCCTGCGCCTCGAACTTCGCCTGCATCGATCCGGCAGCGCCGTGTGTCGGAGACGACGATATTACTGTCGATGTGTTCGAAAACTGCGGGTATGTCAACGCCTCAACGCTTAACCGTAGTAGCGTTGAAAGGTGTCATCTCGATTCATTTTATGCGGTCAGCACGTGGTTGTTGCGTACCATGGTTATTGCACGTTGTTCTTCGTGCCAGTGGTCGTGCTGGGGCTGCCGTAGATCCCTTTCTTACGCTCGAACGTGCTTGACACCGCCGCTTACAGGGATATCGCTTCCGTGGGCGATGGAATTTGCGACGAGGAGAACAACAACGAGTTGTGCGGTGAGCTCGCGTTGGATTCCGGAGCACCTAAACTCGTATTATTCCCCCACGGCCAACACCGTTGTAGCCCTCATTCCGTCGTTTTCAAAAATATTCCTACGCAGGTACGCTCCTTCGAGCAACTGTAGGCCTTTTCTCGATGCAACGGCGTCACCCGGCTGTCACACTTGGATGTTTTTATCCCTGTCCTTGTTCTTTCTGTTCTCGCGTCTCCCCTCCTCCGCCTTCGTTCGCAGGCTACGACGGCGGGGACTGCTGCGAGTGCACGTGTGTGGTAAGCAAACACGGGATGAGGATGCATTCCAAAAGGGGTCAGCTATTCGTCTCCTGGCTACCTATGTTGGCCGGATCTCACTACGTACACAGATCTCACTGTTGCTAAGAACCGCAGCACACTCTCTGAAATCTGAACAATCACCAGGATGAATGCTACCGGGAAGAATGAATGTTTTTAGGTACAAAGCCTGTTCGTGTCTGACAGGTAGCGGTTTGCCTTGAGAACTGTCCTTCAAGACCTGCCCTTGGTGTTATCTATCTCAATTTCCACGTTTCTAGTTTGGCAAACCACATGCTTGTCGATTGCTTGTTCTGCTGTCAGCCATCGGTGTCCGCCGGCGAATACTCTGTCAGTTGCGAGTACGGCTTCGCCTGCATCGACCCCAACGCCTCTTGTTTCGATAAGGACTTCACTCTCGACATGGCAGATAATTGCTACCATAATAGCATCGGCAACGGCTATTGTAATTGTCAAAACAACAACGCAGACTGCGGTGAGTACTCGCGATATTTGAGTTTTCATGCGACAAGTGGGGTTATTGTAGCATGCTTCCGTCGAAGCGGTCAACTACGGCAGGGGGTTGGTGGAATCGTGCAAACCGCACGAAATCGCTTGGTCGTGAATATGTTGCAATGTGTTTCCTCTTCAGTCGCATCGGTTTCACCGTTGGGCTTTTTTCATGTGAAATCTCGTTCTTCATTTGCAGAGGGCGATAGCTTGTATGGCACTGACATGATGGATCAGCCCGAACTCGATCGGTAACAAAGTGGCCATGCAGAATGCAGTGGTTGCTCTACTCTCAGGTAGTGGAGAAGAAATCGCGTGGTGCACAGCAAATGTTTCCCGTCTGCCGTTTGCTCTCTTCACCTTTCCTCAGGGTACGACGGCGGTGACTGTTGCGAGTGCACCTGTTAGGTATGAGAATCGATTCTGTCTTGCGCTCGTTTTGCGAAACACGTCAAGGAGGTCTGGCATTGGTGCGTCTGCCCGTCCCATGCGTCTCCTAGTTTTGTCTCACCCATAGCCTCCTTTTCCCCTCACTCTGTGGATTGCCGCCTACGTTCTGTGAGATATTTTTCGTTGTTCTTGTCCGGGTGCATGCACCTGATGGCGGCATCGCCAGCTATCTGTTCTTCGTCTTCGAGACACGGACACAAACGAAACGCTTTCAAAGGTTGATTGTCACCAAAAGGGTCGGGCGTTTCCCCCGAGAGCCACACACCCTTTCCCCACGGCGTGCACACAAGTGCTCTTCTCGGCTGTGAGCGATATCGCCCAGGTGCACTGTAGATACTGTAAACAATATGCGAGGCGGAGAAGCCCCCCCAAAAAACCGCGAGAGTTGGACAAACGCATCGCTTACAGTAGTGTCAGACACCCCCGAGGCTGTACTGGTCTACATCATATTGCGGTAAGAGTGTACGTGTGCGTATAGAGCAAATGCTGTTCACCACTAGACTAATATTCCACGCGCTCTCCTCCCGATGAGCATCACTCGCTGGACACCTCACAGCGGTCCATCGTTCTTCGTTGACACAACGCCTTCCATGTCGGCACGTCCCGGACACCTTTCCGACCCAAGCTGCGAGAATGTAAAGAAAGCACTATTTACATGTAATATTGTGCCTGTCGTAGGCGTACGTATCAGCCTGTGGCGTGATCTCGTTCGACTCGCAAACTTGTTCATAGACCTTGTCTGCATTTGAACATCCTGCGAACCCATCACCAGGACGCCTTTTATCTGTGTGGCGATTCACAACATTTCGCCTGCATGGACCCTGAGGCGGATTGTGTCGATGACGACTTCTTTACCGAGGAAATGGTGGACAATTGTTTCGAATCGCGCATCGGCGATGGCGACTGCGACCTCATCAACAATATCGAGGAATGCGGTAAGCCTTGATTGTCTGTGATATTAGCACGTGCGACCTTCTCCAAGAACCATGCACCACCGGCGGTTGTATTATTGAGGCCTCTCTCCTTGGGGGATCTTCGCTACAGCTTACCTATACGACGCATTTCTCAGATCGTCCGAGACACGCAGATAGCGATGATGCTGCTAAGTAATATGGTACAGCACCGCTGCTTCTTCTCGCCCAGGGTTTGGTAGATACGCGAGCCTTCCTATCAGCTGCTCATTTCCGGTGGTTGTTTTCAACGAGCTAACGATGCTAACTGCGCTCTTTTGCCTTGCTTGGCATCCTTCTCGCTGTGCCCCTCTTCCCTTCTTTCCACAGCGTATGATGGCGGTGAATGTTGCGAATGCACCTGCCAGGTATGTACCTCAATTATTTGCCGTTGCACCGGCCAGGCGAAGTGCTTACTATGGGCGTGGGTCGAGAGAGATGCGCGTCATCAGCAGACCTCTCTGCCCAGCTCTGTGTGATATGTTCCGTGTGTCAGTTGCATCTCTTCGTCCGGAACTGTTCCATAGTATAGGTGTGTAGCGTACCGCTGGAAAGGAGTGTGCATGCCAGGCACTCACTCCAAGATGACCGGCTCGGGTAGAATGATTTTTGTCGGCAGATGGATCTCTCCCCCTCCCCCGTCTTCGCAAAAGCTACGCTTCCAGTCACAAATATTTTTCCCTTTGCAAGCACCTTGAAGGCACGCTTGCATTCTTTCTGTACAGTCAAGAATCATTGGAACCTCCAGAGAACAATCATTCACATCACTATTCAATGGAACGGAATTCCATGAGGTGTTCCATAGCGTTTTCCAGGGAAGTTTCCTCAGAATTCTAGGAACCTTCCACGATTTCCGTGGAAACCTATCGAGTGTATCGTGCTGTGGGGAATCTCGTGGATTTCATAGTACCTCATTGAGTGAGTTGCTTTTGGTTATGCGTGTGAATAGCGTAAGGGTTATGTCTAGCACGTGGGATTCAGTGGAAAATTCCTTGGAATTCCATGGAAAATGAACTACATGTACACGAAAGACGTTTTCGCAGGCTATTCCATGGATACTCCATGGATGCCCGTGTAACTTTCCACGGCAACTCGCTAGGAATTTGCTTGCAAAGGGTTTCCACCGTCATAGAAATTCGTGGCACACCACACCGAAGGTTTGGTTCGATGAAGTGATTCGTGAATGTAACCCTGTACGTTTCGTTTCTTGTTGTGCATGTACGTGTTGCAAGGTGGAAACCACGGGGCATTTGCAGGCGGAGCACAACTGCAACATAGCATCGTGTTTCTCCCAGGTCGTTGCTCTCCCCTGCCTCCTTTCGCTCCTCACTCTCCTTGCTGAATGAGCTGTTGTCTCTTATTCTTCCATGCATTGCCGCGTTCCCCCCTGCTTCCAGAGTGTTATTGGAGATGGCTGCAACCAGGCTTCTTCCGATTATGTCTGCGTCGACCCCAACGCACCTTGTGTCGGGGATGACGACATCACTATCGGCATGCTCGAAAACTGCGGATCGGTCGAAGAAATCGGTGATGGGTACTGCAATCACGACCTCAACACGGAAGAGTGCGGTAAGCTCCAAGACACAACTCTGAATTTCAGCCGAGAGACTTGCTGTGAACTGTAGCGCAACGGTAGCATCTACAATAGTGGCTTCAAGGCAGTGTCGGGATTATTGGGAACACCCCAATACCTTAGGATGAGCCGATGACCACCATCACTCCGAACGCACTCACTCGCTGACCACTTATCACATGGCTCGCAAACGCTGTGTCAAGCCCATCCCGAGCCGTTCACCTGTAAGAGAGGTACAGATATTCTTGAGAACCCAGAGAATGTTGCTTTCTCATCGCCCAGCGCTCCTTGTAGCGTGACATGGGAAGCTATCCCCGATACACGGCTCCTTTGAATATCTGTGAGATACCTGGTATGATTCATAATCGATATGCGATCCACTGGTTCTTCTCTTTAATCAGTTATCTAACGTCGAAGCGTTCAATATCACCTGCCAAGATGAAGATATTGAACATCCACAGCTCCCCCACGAACTCCTGCATAATGCAAGATAATGTGCCCTTTGGCACGGAGGCGCACCGTGGTCACAGGCTGCCTCACGCATGCGTGACGCCACGTCAACCAACAACGCGGTCCCTCCTGACGCCTCGTTTCCTCCTCGTTCCATCTTTCTTTTCCCGCCCCTCTCGACAGCATACGATGGCGGCGACTGTTGTCCGTGCACGTGTCAGGTACGACGTTTGTTTGTCTCTGTTGAGCAGGGCGATTCGAGCGTACTTCGCTGGGTTCTAGAAATGGAACTGACGTGGAAGCTCCCCCGTGGACTGCTCTTTTCCACCTTCCGCCTCTGTTCCCACTCTCCCCACAGCTTCGTGTGTTGAGATTGTAGGCGCGACTTCTCGATGTAGGTGTGCCCTTCATATGCCGCTTCCCCATCTGTCTGCCTCCTCAATCTCTGACCAAGGATGCCCCCGTTCGCTGCTGCTCACGCATCTGCCAGAACGACAATGGCATTATGACCAGGTGCGTAGAATTCGCCTGTATCGACCCAGCGGCCTCCTGCGTTGACGACGACTCCGTCACCGCCGACTTGGTTGAAAACTGCGAAGATTTGTGGAGCATCGGGGATGGCCAGTGTGGCCCAGGAAACAACAACGAGGCATGCGGTAGGTTCCGGTTCTACCAGTGAGTAGTCAGCGCCTTGTGTATCCTCCTACTTTGGCTTGTAGCAAGGCCCCCAGCTTGGACGCAGATTGCGTCCTCCTCTTACGCACAAGCCAGGAAACGAATCCTTCCTTGTCTACATGGTCTAGTGCCAACCGACGACAAACAGTCTGCCTTCCATCGTTAAACACCCACAATAATGCCTCTCAATAGGCTTGGATCAAGCGAGGCGCTGAGGAAGCTCCTTCGGAGTACAGGGTTGTTTTCATTTTTCGTTGCTGCAAGCGGCCCTGAAACGCACCGACAAGAAGAGGTCACTGCTTGTCACGCTAGGTGACTGCGCGAGACACGAAACGCGGAGTAGTGATATTTTGCGGGGTATTGATATTTTGCGGGGTTCACGTAGAAGTTGTTCCCCGTGAACATGCGAACCGATCGCTCCCCTCTGCTGTTCGGGGATGACGTCAGAATACCTCGCGAGAAGGCGCTGCGGAGATCAGAACTCAAGTCGACACGCCAGGAGAAGATGCAGAAGATGCCCACCGAACCATCGAATCAATTGTAATGCACGACGAGCCAACCTCGTGCTCTGTCCTTGCTCGATCTGCAAGACAGGAAGGGGCAAGTCTGCATCATCACGGGTGCCTCTTTCTGCTAGGAATATAGCTCCCAACCCTCACTTTTTTAGTTTTCGTTGCGTTCTATTTGTCCCGAGCGCCTTAGTTCAGGCAAGGACGGTAGCAGCAAATATTATCGCGAGATTGCCTGCACCAAGGGCTCGTCCAAGCAGAACTAAGGCTTAAGGCTGTTCGTGTTTTCCCTCCCTCGGCTTTCTTTCGACGCCGTCGTCGTTCCTGCTGTGTCCCGATTCGTCAGGCTATGATGGCGGCGACTGCTGCGAGTGCACGTGCCAGGTACGAATGACTGCGAAGCCCGTGGGTCCGAATATATAAGAGCGAGGTTGGGCTCAGTTTTCTCCTCTCCTCGTCGAGATTTTTCTTGCGAAACCCTTCGTTTGCCATTGCCGCCTCCTCTCTCTATTTTGAAAAGAAACTACTTTCCTCTTCTTCGCGTGGAGCTAGCTCCATCCAGGAAGTGAATATTCTATGCTGCCAGGTAGTCCCGAAATTAGTTCTGCCGTTGGGAAAATAACGTGTAGTCTACAGTTGATTATGCACGACAAGTCTGTCTCTCCTCTACGTCCACATTCCCCGACTACAGTACCACCTCTCATAGCGTCATCATCGGCGCCTCATTTCCCAACCGTCAGATTCCCGAGGACCTCACGAGTGGCTTCACCCTTTTCGGTTGCGTCGACCCTGACGCGGCGTGTGTAGGCGATGATGGTGTTACGGTCGAAATGATGGAGGCCTGTGGAAAACCATTCGAGATATGAGACGACAATTGCAACGTCAGCAACAACACGGAAGAATGCGGTGGGTTGGTCGTCGAAAATGGAACGGTACAGCAGTTTGTCGTTCCCCTTCGACTACTATACTAAAGCAAATTACACGAACGTTTGTTTCCCCATTCGCAGGAAGAAGTCTTTTCCTACCCTATGTCTGCAATACAGGCAGTTACTTGCCTTTTGGCGGATGAGACTAAGCATCGTATACAAGTACGTCCTTGGCCCCACCTTGCCAGCCCATATCCGGCTCGAAGATCGATTGACCAAACGGTCATTTCGCGTCGTGGAAACTATGTACAGTAGAGGGGGCCCTTTCTTTGCCGTTGAGTTATGAGTTCAGACGTTGCGACAGCCGGGTTCCCGATGAAACCTCCCACGATTGTTCATGAACGAACCAAGAGAGATATCACCCTATCTGATATCGATTTACCTCCCGTATATAATGCTGGGTTGTGTGTGTATTGTAGTGTGGGGAGGGAGGTTTTGGTTATGAAGCAAACATTTTCAGCGCGGTGTGCGTTGCACGGGACTACAGGAGGACAGTAGACAGCCGGAAATTCTTCATACATCGTGCACCTACTGTAGTTTCTCTCAGCAGCATGGGTCCGAGCACTTGGGGCAGAATGTGAATGCGAGTCAGACATGTTGTGCCAGGTGTTTCTCGCTCCTCGCTCCCACATTGAGCAGTACAATTTTAGGCCGCACCAAGCGTGATGCTTCCGGAAGTTCGTGGCCGAACCCTTTGCTCGCACACCCTTCTGGTCTTTCCACTTGTCGCATTCCTAAGAGATCCTGAATTGGAAAACGAAAACGGTTTGCAGAGAATTGCCGTCGTCCCTCGGCCTCCACCCGCTCTCCGCTCCCCAGACTACGATGGCGGCGACTGCTGCAGTTGCACCTCCAACAGTCCTCCGATTGTCGTCAACGATTCGGGTTCGGGTCCTGCCTTCTTCGACTGCAAAGATCCGCGCGCGGTGTGCTTTGGCGAGGAAAGCTCCAGTTTCTCCGACGGCTACGGTGACTCCGACGCCTACGACGATGAGTCGACTTCTTACTCCTTTGTGCGCGGGGACTGGACGGACCAGGACGGCTCCGATGCCTACAACGATGATTCGATACCCCCCGCGTACGTTTACATCCCCTCGAACCAAACGGGGCCGCTGCCCGCCGTCGCCATCGCCTACGAGGTTGGTACAATGACTGAGGTGAACGTATCAGCCACCGCCCACGACACGAGGCCGGGCAGTAGCAGCGGCGACGTCGGGTGCGGAGAGACCGGCGGCGACGGCTGTGCGGCAATCAAGGCTCATGACGGCATCATCTCCGAGATCGAGTCGAGGTGGTCGTGCGCTACGATGCTCGTCCCCGATGAAGGTCCGTGCCAGATCGAGTTCTCCTTTGCCGATCCCCAGGACATCGTGGACATCCAGGTTGCCTTCTGGGAGGGAAACGAGCGCACCCGTACCGTGGACGTGAGTGTGGGAAACGTTGAGTCCTGCCTACAGTACCACCTCACAGAGCAAACCAAACACAAATACATAGTCTACCCGTATTGCCCAGTCCTCGGTAGCCCTTTGCCAATACTGTGGAACTGCACAAAACGTGTGAGGATCGGCCGAAGTTATCACCCTTCATAGCGATGGAGTGGCGACAGCACCCCACACGCCGCGGGTTTTCGGGCCACGAAGCCGGTATCGTGTCGACATTCCCGGCACGTTCTCATGTTGAGTTTCTTGTTGCTTCTCTCTTGATGTTTGGTCTACGCGCCTCTTTGGGGACGCTCTCTGTGACCATGCAGGCCGTCCGCATCACGTGCACTAGGTATATATTGTGGTAGCGGGACCTTCGAATGTACCCGGTAGATACATCGGAACTGTCGTCCTTGCCGCGAAGACAACAAGAGTCCAAAGCGGCTTTTGTCGAACGACCTACAAGCAACCCCGACGGAATCCACTCATGTCTCGTCCCCAACGCCGGTGAACAGATTTTCATTGACGGCGAGCTGACCCACACGCACGAGTCCTACGCCGACTCCACCTTCAACACGCTCGGCGTGACAGCTACTGAGGCCAGCACTGTGATGCTCGAGTCCGTGGACCTCCTGTCAGACGAATGGATTAGCCTTCTCGAGGCAAGTGATTGTCCACGACGACTTGTTGCCCAGGCGGAGAATAGCAACAGGCCCATGTCGAAGCAAGCTGCGAGTTATGGTTTTGCTCCGGTCAAGCATTGAGAGGGAGGAAACAACTACTGCAGAACACACTATGAAACAATTAAAGCTGCTGTACAGGTTCTCGGCCAATTAATGTGATTTTCGAGGAGTAGTCCACATAGATCTAGACTGAACATGTTGCGGTTTTTCTGAACGCGTCATTGTTGTCACACGCAGGCGTCGACCGCTTAGCGCGAGCGATCGCCGTGCGTGCATCAATATTGCTCCGAATGCTCATCCGAATAAATGTGTTGCCGCTCGGATGCGTCTTTTCGTCCCTTGATTCTGTCCTGTTGCCCGCCGAAGAATCAGGTGCTTATCTTCGTGAAGGTTTGAGCAGCCGCCACCATGCCACCCAAAACCAGCTATTGCCCGCTTCGCTGGTGCACGACACGCCACTATTCGGAGCTCGTTGGTTGATTCCTCTGTGGGGTAGCCTAGCGGCTACTACGTAGTGAATATGGTGGATTAGTGTAGGAACAAGGGTACACTACATGCCACGTCTACGCCTACTACTCGAAATCGGCGGCCGTTCGGGGGGGGGGAGGGGATTTTTTTTTGGGGGGGGGAATTCTAAGTTCTATATATTTGCGTAAGGGGCACCGTGGATAGAAACCGCTCTGACTGTGCAGTACGGGGTAATGACCCACCATCGTGAACTATTTCCTATTGAAAACCGAAATCCAAGTTGCCCACCGACGAAAACCCTACCCCGACGGCAAACAACGGTGCGTGTGTGTGTGGGGGGGGGTCTGTGTGCCTTTTCACTCAGAATCTTATCAAGAATAGGCACTGTTCTCACGGTTAAAACCTGTTAAATTTACATGAAACTTCAATTTCTTGGAGCCTGCGGAGGTTTCGACTGTCAGGATTAGTGCTGTCCCGACTTGCTCGAAGTTCGGAGTTGATATTTGGTAGGCAGAGTAGCCTACTGTAGGCACTACAAGCAGTTTTTGGGGGGCGGTTTTATGTCCATTCCCGACAAACGCAAAACCTGTGCCCGTGTATGGAGTGCAAGCTTCAAGCGTTTTGATGCTCGTGGCAAAGCATAATTTGGACTAAATCTTGCGTGTGACACATCACGCGAAGATACATACGAACTAAGTGTACGTAGTAGGATTATGGTGCACGTCCTCCACTGGGGTTTCGTCAGTCGACGGCCATCATAAGAATTTCAATCGATTACGTTCTGGGAAATTGGCAACGTGGGAAACCTGGTCGTTTCTTGGTTGTACACCAAACCTGGGTCAATGCCAACTCTGCTGCGGTGGATGATTTTACCAGGATTTATCCGTCGTCCTGAGGTGAAGACGTGAAGATGTACCGCAAGAGGCGGACAGATGTCCCTCCCGTACACAGACAAATTCTCAAAGCCGGATTGCTCCACCGCAAGCGCTTGTCCCAGCACAAAAAATGTAGGTTTTGGAAAACATCTCGTTGGGAGCATTTTTGTACAAACGTGTCGGGGCTCCTTTCTGCACCCACTTGGTTGTGCAGAAATGGAGCTTTGAAAGTGGGTCCAGGGGTTTTGCGACAAGTCTCTTTCAGTTGAGCCCGTTTTTTTTTTCATCCAGGTGCTGAGAATCATGGCCGTCCATTGATCAACCCCCAAGTAGAGGCCATCCACAGGAAGATTTCAGTTCAGTTTTGATCTATTATCGTCGTTTAACCATCGTCTGATCCGTTCGCCAGACGTCAAACTAAATGTACGAAGTGTCTGGCAAACGAGAGCGCTTGAAATCTATACAGGTTGCCTACAGGAGTTGCCTTGGTCGGGAAGGGAACTAATTGTAGTTCGAATAGTGTCGTGTGGCATGTCGTGCACACGCCAGGGGTGTCCTGCCGTAGTTACACCAGTAGTTCATGTGCCATAAGCAGGTTTCACGTTAATTGCCCTTGTCCCACGGTTAGAAAAATGGAAATCACAAAATGTTCTTGTTGTAGCGCATTGCAGAGCAAGAGGCATCGCCTACATCATTCTTGTCCAACTAGACGGGCAAACAGCTCAATTTGGCCGGCGCATGTCGTTACATTCTAGAACGCACGGCAAAAGATCTGCCTGGTGTTCGCGAGCGAATGCTACACGCTGCAACACGGCTAAGGGGACCACACGACAAAGGGAAACTGCTGAACCGGCCCCTGCAGCGGGCGGTGCAGTCACCGGCCACACTACGTTGAGGAGACGCCACGGGTTCGAACCGACGACATCTTCGCCGCTCGCCTACATATCCATTCAACTTCTGTTCCGACACACAGCGTTGTATGGATTTGTTGCCAAAAACAAGAGCTTTCACGCTCACATCCAAACCAGAACCAGAACCCTACGCGCAGCAGGTGCGTATTTTGCCCCTCTGGTTCAGCCACAGCCTGGACACATTCTCGATCACGCGTTTCGGGAGATTGCTTGTCGCAGCGCGTCCTCCCCCGCTCCCTTGAGCTCGTCCACCTTTTTCCCGTTCTTGATCATGACGAAAGTCGGCATGGATTGGACCGCGTATTTCTGCGCCGTCTCCCTGGAAGAAACAAGAAAAAAAAAATGAAGTATTCCACACACATGATGATAAATACGAAGAAACAAGGGCCGGTCTGACGTTGTATCATTCCCAAAAGGTAGACACTGACAGCCCCAGACGCTGTTCATACTGTGAAGCTCGAAAAATAAAAACCCTCCGGGGTACTGGGGAGTACGGAACACAGAGCCGCTACTGCAGCATTTTGTCGTGGAACCGGTATCACGTATCTACTACCATGAGTTGATAGCCTGGGTCACTTTGTACCAGTCGGGCAAGATCGAGCTAAGAGCAACGGCCACACACGGCGACAACTTCCAGTTTTCCAACCAATCCAACCCGGGAGAGTTAGCCAACCCGTTGCCGTGCGATAGGTAGCCCCTTCGAAATATCCCTCCGGCCTTTTGCGCGCCCGGCCTTTCCCAACAGCTCCTCTAGGTACGCCCCGGTACGCGGGGAGCAACCAAGCCAGGCCGACACTGACTACGACAGCACTGACTACGACACCGTCATAGGCTTCAAGCGCTGCTGCGAGGGAAAGAGAACGCCATAACCCTACCCAATCCCTATCGTAAGCGATTGACCAAGAAACGCCATCTCACTTGTTGGTGTCGACGTTAACCTTGAGCAAGACGGCCTTCGGGAACTCCTTCGCCATCTCCTTATATACGGGCGCGATTTGCTTGCTGAGGAGGAAAAGGAGGGGGGGCGCGGAAAGAAGCAGGGGTGCACCAAGCCTCATGCAAAATCCTCACTGGTCTGCAAGCACACGATGGTCTCAACAATAAAGACGGAAGAGAGTGCCGCTCAGGGTCGTGGGGCGTAAGCTTGTGGGGGGTAAAACGCAACCAGAAGCAAAAACCTCAAGGTCCAATTATTGCTTCTTCTCACCATGGGCCGCACCAATCCGCGTAGAAGTCGACCACGACCAGCATGCCCTTGGCCGCCTGCCGACGGCAGCATCAACCAGAACAACAGCATATTCATCAACACTCTCACCAAAGCAACAGTGAAATATCAACAACTACCAACAGCGTTAGGACGAGCAGCAAAAGCTGTGAACTGTGGGAAAATGCGTACTAACAGACCAACCACGACGCGGAGATACGGCGCCCTCAACCAAAAAGGAGGCCCACAACAAAGACATGGCTCGCTTGGTTCGCCGCTTGTACATGCGCACTTTTCGCACAGTCTAACCGGTTATTCAAATTGTCAAGTCTTCCCAACGTAGGTATTGTTGTTGTTTTAACATTAGAAATCGTTCCGATCTCTCTACCCCGCACCTTCATGTTTCCGTGTACTGATCCAACACTTGACGCGGTCGATTCCCGCGGTCACAGGCTAACTTGCGCAATAAAAAATACCTCAAATGAAACGGCCCCGAGGGGCCCGCCAGCCTGTTCTCAAATTCTGGCGGATGTACCGGCATGGACCGACGGCGGTGAGGCATACTAAACCCGGGTGACACCCATGTGCCATGCACAGCAGCAGTAGCTGTTTGGATGTACCAGCAAAACACACCACCCCCTCCTCCTCCCTCGCTCGCATTTTTACACGTCCGACACGGGTCCACGACAATGAAGCCCGTCTCCGTTGAGCGGTACGTGTGCGTGCCGGAACAAGCGGATCGCGAGTCAAGTCACCTTGAGCTCTTGTTGGAGGGCCTTCAGGGTCTTGACCTCCTTCACCCCGCCCCCCTTGATCGCCCTCGTCCTCGCCTCTTTCATCCTCCGGATGGCCGCCGCCGTATCCGCCCCGGGGTCGTCCGGATCCCTGCAGAAGGCAACGAACGAGCGGGGGGGGTGAGGCGACGGTGAAGTGCAGGGCCTGACCGAGACAGTTATGCTCAAGAACACATTCACGGCAATCTTGGGTGCTTCCGGATGGGAGATCTCCCCGGGCTAGATAGATATATACCGGGGGGAGCAGCTGCACACCCCGTACACCGCCCGTTGCCTTCCCACCGACATGGGTCACGACGAGCCTTATTGCCTCTGTTCCACGACAAGGGTTACCATCCTGCGTCGCCAGGGTGGCAACCACAAAAATGTCAGAAAGCAGGGTGCGCCTTCGCTTTCCTCTTTGGGTACTCGACGCTCCCGGTTGTAATTCAGGCTGTTGGCAGCTCCCGGGGGAAAGCGTGGCAACACGTGGTGGGTGGGGTCGGGGGACGCACAAATGGTACCATAGGTACACAGATGGTACCATAGGAATACAGATGGTACCATAGGAATACAGATGGTGCGATAGGTACTGCCGTGCGTCTCCCTCGCAGGGCAAGGCGGCGCAGCAAGTGACATCACCCCCGCCGACCATTGGCTGAACGGGTGAAACGAGAAACGTGGGATCGTACGCGTCTTTTTTGCACACCTGAGCATGTAGAGCCAACCGCCGTGCCCCACCGACAGCTCCTTCAGCGTGGAAGAGACTGCGTTGCCAAGGCGACAAGAATATAAACAAACCGTACCAGGGGAAACGGGATGTTGTAGGGCGTGTGCTCGTCGTGGATACATGGAAGCACATTGGGGCACCCAGGGTAATTCTAAAAGGGAAATGGACACAAGTGGGTATACCCACGCCATTCTCGGACAAAAGTGGCTACTCGAAAATCCAGCGCGCGCGCACTCCATAGGCGACCCCCACACGACTCAGAACCCCATGCTGACACCTGGGCGACACAGCCAGGGACCATACACAGCACGGGCATCGATTTTCCCCTACTTTTAGGCACACGTTTGGCCCTAATACCGCCGACGCGCGCAAGGCCTCACCAGAGTGCCCACTTATGTCCGACATCGCGGTGGGTATACCCACCGGCGTCAACGAATTTTTTCATGTACCCACTTGTGTCTGTATTTTGACCCACTTTTGTCCAAATTGTACCCACTTTTGTCCACGTACGGACGGCGGAAATCGAGCGGAAATCGACCTCCACGTCACCGCACGGCACAACATTGAATAGCCTCGGAACGTCTCAGAACCTCCCAACACCGTATCCATGGCATCTTTCCTATCCATGGTTGCCGACTGCGGACCGACCATGGAGGAACATGTCAGAAACATGCCAGACCCCTTCGGTATCAGCACGGGAAGATACCAGGCACGGGAAGATACCCGTGGCAAGCCCGGCAAGCAGCTCACTATCGGCACGCCACAAATAAATGCGTGACACACAACGGACAACACAACCAACGGTGCAGGGCCTCGACATGCCACTGCTGCCGTGACGAGTCGGTGTGCACTCGTCGTGGTGGTTGGTATTGTTGTGTGTGTGTTGTTGCTGTTTGCGCGTCTTTTTGTTCTTTATGCGCGACCCGTTGGTTGTGTTGTCCGTTGTGTGTCACGCATATATTTGTGTCGTGCCGATAGTGCGCTGCTTGCCGGGCTTGCCGCGGGTATCTTCCCGTGCCGGTACCGAAGGGGTCTGGCATGTTTCTGACATGTTCCTCCGTGGTCGGTCCGCAGTCGGCAACCATGGATAGGAAAGATGCCATGGATACGGTGTTGGGAGGTTCTGAGACGTTCCGAGGCTATTCAATGTTGTGCCGTGCGGTGACGTGGAGGTCGATTTCCGCTCGATTTCCGCCGTCCGTACGTGGACAAAAGTAGGTACAATTGGACAAAAGTGGGTCAAAATACAGACACAAGTGGGTACATGAAAAAATTCGTTGACGCCGGTGGGTATACCAACCGCGATGTCGGACATAAGTGGGCACCCTGGTGAGGCCTTGCGCGCGTCGGCGGTATTAGGGCCAAACGTGTGCCTAAAAGTAGGGGAAAATCGATGCCCGTGCTGTGTATGGTCCCTGACTGTGTCGCCCAGGTGTCAGCATGGGGTTTTGAGTCGTGTGGGGGTCGCCTATGGAGTGCGCGCGCGCTGGATTTTCGAGTAGCCATTTTGTCCGAGAATGGCGTGGGTATACCCACTTGTGTCTATTTCCCATTCTAAAATGTGACCGATTGTGATCTCGAGGACTCAAGCCTTCTTTTCTATCATGATGCTGGATCTAGCAATAAGCACGGTATCAAGCTTCTACGAAACCAGTGGGGGGCTTTTACACGCCGTGTGACCATTGTAGGAGTCATCGCTCCGCTGACCTACTCCTGCGTGAGAAGAATGCCACACAAGAGTAGACCCAACCTCAACGGCAACGACAGAAAAAAACATGCACACCGACACAGGCAATCACGCTTTTAAAAGGGGAGAGAGGCGGCATAGGGTAGCACGTGATACACGCCCCTCCCTGTCCGAGGTCTAAAAAACTTCGTCGAGATTGAACTGACCTTCCACTGCCGCCTCTGGGTCTTCCTCGATCGCAACGCCCGCCTCGGGCTCGCATCCCAACTGCAAGGTTTGTACGAGGAGAGGGTGCGGGGGTCACGCACGCGATAAGCCTAACGGGGGTATCAGCACGATATTCGTAATGGTGGTGCCACCCAATGACGTTTGGTGTCTGAGGCTGACTCTTATAGCTCCCGAAAGTTGGCCCGACGGATTTTTTTGGACGGGCATACCCCCACCCCCCTGATTTGCCACGGATCCGACCACGAGACAGACCTCTCACCACATCACCACAGAGTTCTCCCTCCATGATTGTCGGGTCCCAAACTATCGTAAAGAATCTCCTACGGATTCTCCATACGGATTCTTACTTTTGCTCACATGGATTGACATTTCTCAGCACACACAGACCCCACAGCAGTCACCATTAGCTTCAAAGACGCCTACAGGTGTGGTGCGTACAGCCTTCAAGTTCTGGTGACGACACGACAATCATGGAGGGAGAACTCTGTGGTGATGTGGTGAGAGGTCTGTCTCTTGGTCAAACCCGTGGCAAATCAGGGGGGTGGGGGTATGCCCGTCCAAAAAAATCCGTTGGGCCAACTTTCGGGAGCCATAAGAGTCAGCCTGAGCCCCTGTCTCGACGACCAGCGCGTGGAAGTACCAACATTGAATGCCCGACGTACTCCTTCCTCATGGAATATGGGCTTGGTCGAAGCCCGGCAACATCCAGCTGGTTTAGCACAGCGAATGCAACGGTGATGACCACCTTCTGGTTCATCCTCGTGAAGCCTGTAGGGCCGGTCCGAAACCCGGAATGGCATACCGCTCCGTCCGGGCATGCGAGGTCAACGGTCTAACTCCTCCGGCATTCATTTTCCTGAGTACCACCCTTAGCCTGGTCCAATGAGAACTCCGCGCGTGCTCCGTCCCGGCTTTGTATGGATGCGAGGTTCATGTCGTAATGACTACGGAATACGATACGTGAGTACGACCCCCTCCCCCCCCGCGTGAGCAACACGACAACGTACCCGCTCGCAGACGTCCTCCACGGTGTCGCGTGCCTGGGCCTGCACGCGCTTCACCGACCCGTCGGACATTCGGACCCGTACCGTGAGCTGAATCATATGCATAGTACCACGGGACGGAAAAGAAAAACGCGTGAGTACGGAACAGGGCCAGCAGAGTTCAGCCAACAAGGCTATCGCCGGGTACACCGGACGCACTCTCAGAGACGGTGTGTGCGGTCGCGATCGATTTCCGTGCAGTATTTGCCCACTGTCGTGAACTGAACGATAGATAATATGGAGTTCATTTTAGTGAATGACCCTACGATTGCTAGGTAGGTGGGAGGGACAATCCCTCAGACCGTTCAGTTGACACCCAAGGGAATAGCCCCTGTTTCCCCAACTACCGGTAGTGAGAGATATGTCTTGCAGCAGTATTGCTGCTGTAGGTCCGTACTGCTGTACCACCTTCTGTACCACTGTCGTGTTCCACGTGTCCGCCGTATCTATACAGTCAACGCCCACACCCACAGCAGTGACACAATAGTTGGTATGCACAGGGATTACTGCTCTCCACCTCAAACCTTACCCTCTACATGGGTCTGCAATTACCACTTCGGCCGCCGCTGCTGCAGCTGCTGCTGATTTGGGGCAGTCGACTTGCGGGAGGGTGTCGGCATGGAGGGTGAAAGAGCGGTTGCAGCAGCGAGAGCACCGACGTTGCGTTCATGTATTGCAGCAGCGGTCTTGCTCTTCTACCTCTTCTATTACCAAAACCACCTAAAAAAATCAAACATCCCTACGCCCTGGTGCGTCTACCGACGCTTCTACTACGGGAGAGGACAGCGTGAAAGCAGTCATGGCAGACTTCGGGCGAACACATGATCTGGGCCGCAAGGCGCGCTGACCTCGGTTGCAGTTGGTGCCGCTGCCGCTGCGGTCGACGGATGAGCATTGAAGGTCAGCAGTCCCAAGACGGAGACAGCCAGCATCTCAGCGGACCTCCATCGTAGAAAAAACATTGGTGCTCTGTGTGCTGGGTGCTTCGGCGTGGTTCAGCAGAGCAGTGAGCGGGCTCCTGTGGCGCAGCCTCGCCGCCTCTGCCCAGTCTGGTTGGCTCGGGGGCCCTCTTCTGACATTTGCGTACCTCTCGTCGGCGGAACCTTTCACATTTGCGTCACCCCCAGCGTTGCTTTTGCTCCGCACACAAGCAACGCAGCCGTGTTCTCTACAATAGCAGTGGAGATGGAGGGTAGATCTACGGGGATGAGTGAACCTGGTGGCGAATCACCTGGAGTGGCGGTAGCGTTGCCTCCTCTTCATACTGCCCGTTCTTCGGCTGCATCGACACTTCAGCAGCAGCAGCAGCAGCAGCAGCAGCAGCGGCAGCAGCAGCAGCAACATGTGGAGTATCTGTTTGAACTGGCACCGCTTGGGCCCGAAGGTTTGCTCGCCCGATGTCGGGAAGGCACGGGTAACTGGTGGGGGGACGCGGAAGAGTGCCTCAGGATGGACGAGAGCGGACGCGTCGTGCTCGTGGATCCTGAGATGTACTATGAGGTGAAGCGGGAGGACGAGTGGTCGGGAGTTTTGAGGACCTTATTCAATACGTTGTTGGTGCACACGGACGGTGTTTGTTTGTTCGGATACAGCTGGCTGCTGGGCATCATTCGTTCTAGCATATGTACCGCTGGTGTCCTTAGGTGGCGAGAGGGTGTTGTGTGCATATTATCCTGGGCAGACTCCTAGCCTCCTCGTGGGTTGAACACGTACGTTTTTTTTGTGGCTGCTTTGCGCCTCTTTCAGCTGCTGCTATTTGCACCTGTCAGATCGCCGTTGCGCTATGTTGACTGCCTGTCCAAGACTCCGCTGTACGTACTTTGGGTACCACGGGACCACGGGCAGCAGCTCATCTACAGCAGCGCACCGGTGAAAGTCGCAACAAGCAGATGGCACCATAGTCTCGCCCGATAGGGACTGAGGCTTTTGGTATCGGTGCCCTGATTCATAGCAGATTGCAGCGCGCCGCGTGCAGTTTGAAACACATCCTTACATATCCGACGAATATTTAGCTTCCGATGCCCGACAAACGACACAGCAGGTACAGCTGCTACTACCAACGCCATATTTACAAGTGAAGGTGCGGTGCAATTTTCACATGAGCACACGCGCAGACGTATCCCACCAGCGGTGCCTTTTCTATCCCGAATGCCGACCTTCTTTTATTCCTCCTTGTGCTTTGAGTCCCCGTGGGGTTTTTCTGTATTAGCCCGCATCTTCCGACCCTCCTACGCTGAATCGTGTGGACATTTCACTGCTGCACTGCAACTAAGTTCGGCATGTGCATCGACGATAGTCATACAAGCCTCATCTCCACGGCACATTCCACTTGTTGACACCCTCACGTGATCACCGTTTATTGCTCTGCCCCCCCTTCCCCCGTAAACTCTGCGCCAATCCATTCCAACTGCATTCACAATAGCCCCCATTGTGTACAGCGAAACTGAGTCAACCCGCAGGTCTTGTCCTCGCCGACAACCTCCGAACTTGTCCCCTAGCAGCAGCCCCTAGTACGTGCATAGCCATGCAAAATCACTGCTCGTTATGGTGGCCCAGCCGCCAAGGTCATGCAGTCAGAGGTCTTGGCCGAGAACATGATCTTGCACGTTGTACGTAGCCCTCCCAACGAGATAAATAGTAACGTACCACATCCGGACTTGCAGCAAGCACCCTGTGTTGCTCTCTCGCACATCACCCCACCAATGGTCTATCTAACCGCCATGCCATGCACCCCCCCCCCCTCCCCTTGGGTACAACAACTCCAACAGCACCACTACGTGCAGCGAAACTACTTGCGCATCGCGGCGTCGGTGTTCCTATCGGTTCTCTCGGGGAGGTCCCTCGGCCGCCCCTCCGCCCTGACGCCTCCGCTGGTGGAACATCTCTCCAAGGTCTGGCATAGGCCGCGACGGCCGCTGGTCGGGGTTGATGCTGCCGCTGGCAGCAGAGAGGGGGGGCTCGCGCATGCGGAGGAGGGGGATGGGGTCGTTGCGGTCGCCTTGGTGAGTGTTTTTTGGTCCAGCATCTCGTGGGGAGCTGGACGCCGACGTAGGAGAGCAGTAGATCCGTAGATTCCCGAAGCGACGTCTGAGAAGTTCGCTACATATGGGTAGTAGATGGGCGCCCGGCCTATGGTATGCGAGGTGGTCTAGGTAGTAGATAGGTGTCAGGCCTTAATCTGCAAGCAGTACCGGTGCCTGTAAGGTTTACTGTGGGTAGTAGATGGGCACCCGGCCTTTACTGTGAGATGATCTAGGTACAGTAGATCGGTGTCGGACCTGTCTGTTGAGATAGATTTATTTTGAATAAGAGTGCCCCGCCGTTTGAAACATGTACATACCCTTTTGCCAGCTACGGCGGGCGAGGTATTGGGAACCAAGAGCATACAGTAACCAACCAGCCACTTCCGGCCCCAGAAAACCCCCGCCCATACACAAACGCGTGCGCTTGGTAGCATTCCGCACCTCTAGGTTTCGCCCAGTGCGAAGCAAAACGTTTCGCGCCGCCTCATCCTTCTTGCCCCGCCGACAGGGTCCAAGCGTGGCGACTATTCCCCTCCGACCTTGGGCGAAAGAGGTGAAGGTCATGGCGCCACGGCTGTTGCGGCGGAATAAGCTGCTTCCGGTACCTGGTGGTCCCAGCAGCCGCCGAATGCCTGCGGGCGAGCGAGAGGAGGAGGAGGAGGAAGAGGAGGAGGCGCTGAGTCTCCATGGTCAAGTCTTGGCGTGGAGCAAAGACGGGAGGTGGGCGGGGTTTGTTCAAAGTTTGTTGTTGGTATTTGTTGTCAGGTTTTTGAGTAGTAGCCACGGGCGTTGACTCTGGCACCACGCACAGGCGTTGGCGAACGGGCCCTGCGTTGATCGGGACGCGGCTGTTGCTCTCTGCTTCGCCAATGCGCGTTGCCCGTGGGTGCGTGGTTAGTCGGCTATTCCTGCCTCCCTCACCCCAAACGTGCCTCGCGGCTCTGTATGATGATGAAGATGCCCGTATTCGCCTCGCGAAAGTGTCGAATCTCACGGGGGTCGCGCATGGCCCCCGACAGCAGTAGACCGCACACTGGGATACCGCACACCGCAGACAAGACGAGGAGCCTTTCCCTCTGCTACTCTGCAGCTGTCTTCTTCGCACAACGCGTTGTCGTCGTTTGCCCTCCCCTCTTGATGATCCGAACCGAACCTCTCTAGCCAAACCTATTTTTGTGCTGGGGCATAGGAAATGACCTGAAGAGCCGGGAAGGATAGGTAGGCTCTGGGGATTGTTTTTCTTGAGCCATCCAATAGACAAAGTAGGAAGCAACGATTGGCCATTGGTGACCGGTCCCGTGGGGAAAAAATGCCCGGCCACGTGGGTCAAATGGTCTATAACCGCTACAAGGCATGCAATACATGAGTACCCGACCCCCACCCCCCCACACGCATCTACGACGCCCCCTCCTTTCACAGTGTCGTGGCGGTCTCCACCCCTACGGGAGGCGTCGCCTGCCTGCGCCACCTCTCCGGAGCCTGTCTGGCTACCGTCGTCCCGCGCCCCACTGGGCCGGACCGGGGGGGTTCCGCGGCGAGCCTGGGGGGGGGGGTCGCTGGCGTCGCCCTTAGGGGGTCGTCGGAAGGCGGGAAGATGGAGGTGGGTCTAAGAGAAGTCGCGTAGCGTTGTATGCGATCACACACCCACGAAAGATAAGAAACCGTCGACAGCATACTGTACAATGCCTTGTGATAGTAGTGCGAGTATGCAATATCCCGGGGGTGTGGTGTCTTGTGATGTACATACGATACGGTAGCGGGGTCGTGGGTGCGCCTGTTTCCTACTGAACGCATGGTCTCACTACCCCAGCCTCTTGAGTGGTTGCAAAGCTAGATTTCCGTTGAAGCCGAGGCGTGTCGTTGGGAAAGTGTGACGTCACGGGTACAACTGGAGGACTCTGTTGGTGCCAGGGTTCAGTCGGTGTACATGTTGTTGCGTAGTTTCAAATTGTGTATCTTTCTATTTCCCTGTGTGCGCGTTTGTGTTGGGGGTTGGGGCGACAAGCTGAGATAACATTTTCACTTGCCCCACCCTGCCCGTAAGTAAAGTTCTTTATCTCCAAGTTCCTGCTTCGTTTCCTTCGTGCTTTTTTCTCTGATGGAAACCTAGCGATTTTATCTCCATCCAGAGACATTTGAGTCCGGGATATATCGGGATAAATCGGCGATGAATTCAGTGTTATTGGAACACCACCCTTTTGTTTCTACGATTCCTCGAACAGCCGTTTTGTTTTTTTCGTGGACTGCACTGATTCATACGTCTCTCGTTACTTTTTTGCATGTTTTTGTCCGCAAAGGTGGTGGTCCTTACGTACGACGCCGTCTTGGCGCTCTACTCGTTTTCTGTGGAAGGAGGCGTGGGTGAGGGTGGGGGCGAGGTCCTGTCGTCCCCGGCTTGGGAGCAGCGCCTCGGGAGATGGCATGCCTCCACGTGTGCGATGGCATTCCACGGAGGTGAGACGGACAGACGAAACGTAAGACACACCCTGTTATAGGTTGCATAGGATACCGCCCCAAATAGGTTGCGTGTGTTCTGTTTTTCCTTTTGGGTGTTTTTTATTTTTTCTGTTTTTGGGTGCTTTCTAATTTCGGTTTTGAGCTTTGTTTGTTTCATTTTCTTTTTTTATTTCAGTTTTGGGGACGCATTATCACACACACTCGCCGTAGACCGATTTCAAAGCTCGATTACTCGGCAGGAAAGGACGAAAGCAGTGACAGTGGGGTTTGATAGGTACGGTATGCTATCTGGCGCCATCGTGCTCCTTCGAGGATTGTACAGCAGTACCACGGTTTTGAGAGTGCGTACATTGTTCCGGCGCAAGGCCTGGCTGTGGCTGACCATCATCCCCTCCCCTCCCGCACGACTCTCACATCGGACCCCCTAGGGTTGTTCCCGTTCACAGTAACCCTTCCACTGCCATCGACCCTCCCCCCCCCCAGGACTACATGTTTGTCCCCTGCGAACCCCCTTCATGGCTGCATTCGTGTTTCCTGCGAAAGGCAGTCACCCTCCGTCCGTGCGGAAATCAACTATAATAACGTTGCTACTCTCGTCTTCTCTCTCCTCTCGTCTTGACCCGCACAACAGCCTCGGACACGGTAGCCGTGGTAGGCCCTTCGGGCGCCTCCCGCCCCGACTCCTGCCTCTCCCTCACCCTCTGGCGAGTGACCGGGGGCGCCGCCGCTGCCGCCGCCGCCGTCGCAACCGTCGAACAAAGCAGCGCCTACGCCGCTGCTGGCGGAGGTGCCATCTTGCGCGCGCGTGGGTCGAGGCTGGCGGCGGGGGGGAGCGCCGCCATGCCGCTGCCGCCGCTTCGGCTGACGGAGCTCCACTTCGTGTCGCTGGAGGGGGGGTCGTTCGTGGTTCCCGCGCCGCGGGCGGGGTTGGACAGGGCGCCCCCCGGGACGGTGCCGGCGTTGCTGCCTTTGTTTTTCCCGGGACTGCGAGCTGTGGCGCCCCCTGTGCAGGTGGGTGTACAAGCATGAGCAGGAGTACAATGGAATATGGAAAAAAAAATTTGCTGGTTTTGTTTTGGTCGCCAAGGGGGAAGAGTAATCCAGGCTGGAGCACGCGGCGTCGCAGGAGTATGGAATATGGAGAGGTTTTGCTACATTTTTTTCATCATCGAAAGAAGAAAGGATATTCCAAGGCAGGAATAGAAAGGCCAAGTTTTGCTTGTTTGTTTCACCAAGAAGAAGAAATGATCCATGCAGGAATGGAACGGCCATGCATGTAATTGCTGTTTCGGTCATCACCAAGAAGGAAAATATCAAAAAATGATCCAGGCAAGAATGAAAATGCCATATATTCCTTGCTTAATTCATGGCCAGAATGCTGAGAAACTGTATCGATTATTGATTGTTTCGGAAACCGCTCACGATCAAAATTTCGATCAAACGCCGATGATGGCGTCTATCTCGTTTTTAGTGTCCCGTGCGCCGTGAAGCGCTTGCGCGCTTTCAAACACCCCGCAACACGCTCGCGGGTCGCACGCGATTCTCCAGAAAGGGCACGCCTTGGTGAATGGTGTTAATTTACTTGAACTTTCTGTTTCTCGCTCTCGTAGAAAACTGAACCGGTGCTCCATGACACAGCAGTACTGCACCGCAGGACAGAAGCTGCATTCTTTTTTTTAGTTCCATCGGGTGTTTTGCGGTCATGGGGTTGTTTTTTTCAGGTGGTGTTCAACCCATCAGGAGACAGGTTGGCCGTGCTTGACATCGCGGGAGGGGTCAGCATCGTGGAAACTTCGGAGGACGCCGCTAACGCCTCATCCCTCGGCCGCAGGTACTGTGTGCTATTTCAGCAGACAGCTGCCGTTCGCGCTCTCTTCTCTATCGTTCGTAGCACAATACGATAGCAAAGAGCTTAAAGCTGCATACGGTACACTTTAATAAGCAAAAGTTTGATTCGACTGCTGCGCTCCCGCTCAAAGGTTTGAGCCAAGCCGCGCTACTCTGTAGCAATACGGTAGGTAGCATGCACGTAAATTTGTTCCGATTCGAACCCTGTTCTCCGCTCAAGAGTTGGGCTCGAATCGCGCTACTCTTTGGCAAAAAAACACGCTACAACTCTGTCGCGTGAGTGAAATATTTAGGGAGGGGAGGAGGTCGTGCTTTTTTCTGAGCCTTGTCAATTCAACTCGACATTAATCACCCCACACACACTCTCGCCGCTTCCCCTTAGGTGTCTTTCCGCAGACGGCCGCTCCTGGCATCGCGTTACGGGGGCCGCAGCAGCAGCAGCAGCAGCAAGAGGGCCACCGCTGCCGGCGGAGACCACCACCGCTCCCGCCGCCGGAGGCGGCACCGGCGCCGCCGTCCCGCGGGCCGTGTCCGTCGGGTGGTGGTCGGAGCTTACCCTGGCGGCGATCTCCTCCGCTGGCGATCTCGCTTTCCTCGACGCTCCGCTCTTGGAGGCCGGCCCCGCTACCGCCGCTACCGTCGAGATCGCCACCGCCTTCCGCAACAGCGCCGGAGACCGGGGGGGGGTAGCGGGACCGAGACCCCCTCCGCTGGGCCCCCGGTGCTCGGTCTGGTTCGCGGGGGACGGGCGGAGAGCGGCCGTCTGCTGGCCCGGCGCGGGGGGCGGGGGGGGGGGGGGCCCCCCCCCCCCCCGGAAAAAGGCCCCCGGAAAAAGGTTTGGAAGGGCCCCGAACCCCCGGGCCGGGGGGTCCGTGGGGGGGCTTTTTACCCTGGGCACCGCGGAAA